TATTTAACAAAGGGAGGGATAAAGAAAGAGAGAGAGAGAGAGAGAGAGAGAGAGAGAGAGAGAGAGAGAGATAGTGAAAAAAAAAATTTGGAGATTGTAATTTAGTTAGGTTGATTTTGTTGTTGTTGTTGTTGTTGAAGAGAGTTGTTCAATTTGTTGAATTTGATTTATCGTTCCTTCATATATGTTCTCATTTTGGTTTTGCTTTTCATTTTTTCATTCATTCAATTCATTCATTCATTCGTTGTTCCAAAATACCATGTTTTCATTTGTAATTGAATTTTTTCTTCCATTTTTTCTGTTTCTCTCTCTCTCTCTGATTCCGGATTTCAACCGTTTCAATTATTATTTGTATACATAAACATCCGTCAATCAGTCACATTTGAAATGATTTTTTTGTTTGTTTGTTGTTGTTGGTATACTGTATATTCACGCTATTTTCTTTATTCAATTCAAATCCTTGATTTTATCATTAATTCTATATTTGAATTTGATTCAACAATAACAAGAAATCCAAAATAAAAAATCTAGCCTTGTCAAAACAAATCAAATCAAAATAATCATACTGAATCGATAATGTTAATTTAAAAAAATAAATAAATTTCAACAAAAAAAAAAGATTCTCTCAATTGAACATTCTGAAAGTCAATTGGCCAAAGACAAACAATTTTTTTGATTGTCATCGTTATCGTTGTCGATGTTGTTATGAATTGAACTCAATCAAAACAAAACTTATTTATTAAGGCAATAATAATAATGATGACAACCCAAAAATAATGGGAACCAAACAAAAAACCAAACAACAAAAAAATGAAATTGGTTAAAGCAACTTTAGTTGAAAGGAATAAATTTTTTTTTATTTTTGGCTTTCATCATTAATATCTTTATTCAAGTCATTCTCTATGTTTTTTGGCGATGCTCCTAGAATAACATCCAAATAATAAATTGTGAAGCAAAATTGGCAATCGAAAAACGAACGAAACGAAAACAAATCAAATTTTATGTATAGCAAAAAAAAAATTGGAGAAAAAAAATCTTTCGGATATTTTGCTGATAAAAATGAAAACAAAACAAAAAATTGATTGAGATTTATTCGATTGAGAATAAAAAAAGGGAAGCTATATGAAAAAGAATAAAAAAAAACTACATAGAGTAAACCCATAGTGAGACATTTTTTTGGTATATGACAATCGAACAATTGGGATGGGGTGAAAAATTGTGAAAGACGAAGCAAAAATAAAAAAATCGAAGTTCAAAATGAAAATATATGAAAAAATAACAACGGAAAGACAATTCATGAATGAATTTTTTTTTTTGGTTTGATATGGTTGATATATGTGAATGGATACCAATTGGGGTATGTGAATGAACAAATCAAAATCAATGACGACGAATAAAAAAATCGACCCAAGGAAAATAAATATATTCGTCGTCCAAATGATGATAGTGGTCAAATAATCGAAATGACAATATTTTTTTTTTCTTAAAATAAAATCGAAAACAAAAATCAATGAATTGAATACAGAATTAAATTGAATCGAATGGCAAAAGATTGACTGATTGATTGATGTAATGATGAAACAACAATAGAAATAATTCCGAATGAATCCAGAATTTTGTTTTGGTTTGTGAACAAAATATATACTAAAATGATCAAAGGTCAAAAAATTGAAACTTACTCGATGACTATGACGTCGTTGCATCGTATTTTTTTCCTGGATAACAATGTTTATTCGGTTTTGGGATGTGCGTGCGGTGTTATGCGATGTATGTTTGGACTATAGTTTCTTGTTGTTTAGGAATTTCATAATCCAAACTGGAACCGGATTCGTGAATGAATAACACACACACACACACATCATATACGCATGATGAAATGATGATTTTTTGTTTTCAAAAATCCGATTTTGAAAAAAAAAAAATTGAATTACGATGATGATGAAAAAATGGCACTTTTTTTCACAAACAAACAAGGAGAATAAAGAATTGAATAAAACAAATTCACACCGTTTTTTTTGTTGTTGAAAAATTACATAATCCAATGAAATGAATGAAAATTGGCAGCCAAATTTAGTTTTTGTATACAAATAAAAAAAAATTGAATCGAAAAAAAAACAACACAAATAAACAAACACACACAAAGAAACGATAGGAAATATATGACAAAATCAACTAATATTGATGAGATTTTTTTTTTCGTTGTTGTTGTTGAAGAGGAGATTCTCTCGATCAATTCCAATTAATATTTACGAAGAAAATTGAGACAATTTGTTGTTTTTTTTTTTTGATTAATTATCCATTTTCAGCATCTTATCTTACGGGTCAATTTGTAATTAATGTGAAAAATAAAACAAAAATTTTCATCATCAATTTCGTTTTGTTTTTTTTTTTGTTTTGTTTTCGATCTTTTGCCTCATCAAAACAACAACAACAAAAACATCGAAAACAAATGATAATGATAATTATGTCATATCATAAAATAATTGATGATTGTTATTTCGATTTGAGTGTTGTAAATCATAATGATGATCATATGGAATCGATATGTTTGTTTTTTTTGTGTGTATGATCATCATTCGGAATGAATGACTATTCTGTTTCCATTTGTTTCCGAAGAAAATTTTTAGCATTTGAATTTGATAATGCGAACAAGTTAATTCTTTCTTTGTCTGAATGAGGTTACTCTCTTTTCTTCTTGATGATTCTTTTTGATTCTTTTTTATTCTTAGGCCAATTTACCGGAGCATCTATTAATGACGCCAAACACCGTACACACAGACACACCATACACACAAAATCTTATCGATTAAGTTCATTTAGTTTCATTAAAATTATTCATTATCTGATCCTTTCTTTTTTTTGGTTGTTGTTGTTGTCGTCGACAATTTAATAGCTGACAAGAATGGTGGCAAAGTTACGATGTTGAATTTCAAAGATAAGTATCTTTGTTTTTCATTTTCATTACTTGTTTTACTATGTATTGTGATAATTTTTATTGGAATTATTTATTGCCTCATTAGTTTTTTTTTTATATATCTTGCCTGCTTTCTCTCTCTCTTTCTCTACATTTAACATTACATAAACATTTTCCTTGTAATTCCTTGCCTATTCCATTCTATGGAATATATTTATCCATATGAACATGGTGAATTTTTTTTGTCGAAGAAGAAGAAGAAGAAGAAAATAATTTTCATTGCTATCAAGTCATAATAATAATAATAATTATTATTATTTCATTATCATTCAAAAAATGCCAAAAACAACAATATCAAATGAAACAAGCAAAAAACATTCTTGTTGTATTAACAACATGAATATAAAACGAAAAAGAGATGATAATATTTGGATGACATACACACACACATAACACATTGACACAAACAAACAACGAAATTCTTGTTAATCGTAAATGTTGATTTTTGTTTGGAATAAAATAAAATGAAAGAGATCTTGATTCAGATATTTATCATATTTTTTCTTTTTCTTTTTCGTTTTCAGTACTATCCGTTGATCATTGTTGTTGTTGTTGACGATTTTCTCATTTCAGCAACTTATATGAAGCAATAAATCATGATTTCTTTTCTTCTTCAATATTTATACCATGCATGGTAAACTTTAATTTATTTAAGGCGAAAAAAAACTGGAAAACCGGATACTTTCGTTTTCTTTCCGTGTGCGAGAAAAAACACACACACACAAACAGACAAACAAACACTCAATGACCCGATATTGGAGTTTTTATCTTCAGTAGGCCAAAAAAAAAAACACATACAAGCACCCACGCATACAGATGTATCAACAACAACAACACACGAATAATTTTGACGAAAAAAGATATGATAATGAAATCAGATATGATGATTATAATTCACATTCTATATCATGAACAGAATTAATATAGATAGAATTTCCAATCAAGTAAATATGATTGAACAACAAACAAACAAACAAACAACAATTTCCTTTTCTCTTTTCACTTTATCTTGTTTACAACAAATATCCAAANTGTCGAAGAAGAAGAAGAAGAAGAAAATAATTTTCATTGCTATCAAGTCATAATAATAATAATAATAATAATTATTATTATTATTATTATTATTTCATTATCATTCAACAAATGCCAAAAACAACAATATCAAATGAAACAACAAGCAAAAAACATTCTTGTTGTATTAACAACATGAATATAAAACTAAAAAGAGATGATAATATTTGGATGACATACACACACATATATATAAACACATTGACACACAAACAAACAACGAAATTCTTGTTAATTGTAAATGTTGATTTTCGTTTGGAATAAAACAAAATAAAAGAGATCTTGATTCAGATATTTATCATATTTTTTCTTTTTCTTTTTCGTTTCAGTACTATCCGTTGATCATTGTTGTTGTTGTTGTTTTTGTTGTTGTTGACAATTTTCTCATTTCATTTCAACAACTTATATAAAGCAATAAATCATGATTTCTTTTCTTCTTCAATATTTATACCATGGTAAACTTTAATTTCTTTTAAGGCCAGAAAAAAAACTGAAAAACAGGATACTTTCGTTTTCTTTCCGTGCGTGAAAAAACAAACAACCAAACACTCAATGACCCGATATTGGAGTTTTTATCTTCAGCAGGCAAAAAAAAACAATCACCCACGCATACAGATGTATCAACAACAACAACACACGAATAATTTTGACGAAAAAAGATATGATAATGAAATCAGATATGATGATTATGATGATTATAATTCACATTCTATATCATGAACCGAATTAATATAGATAGAATTTCCAATCAAGTAAATATGATTGAACAACAAACAAACAAACAAACAACAATTTCCTTTTCTCTTTTCACTTTATCTTGTTTACAACAAATATCCAAAAATGAAATTGATTATATTGCATATAGGCTGTAGGATTATTATTAGCTGTTGTGAAAATGAAGCCAAAAAAAACGAAGAAGAAGAAGAAGAAGAATATTTTTTAAATCACATCACATTATCGTTATTAGCTATCATCATTATCATTAGATGACAATATTTTATATCATCAAATGTAATCTGATCGACCAACATTGAATATTCTGCTGTTGTTGTTGTTGTTCTGTTCTGTTCTGTTCTGTTATTTCATCGTATAAACAAACATGTCCTGAATAATCCAAAATATTGGTGGATTTTTTTTTTGCTTTTTGAAAACTTGATAACGGTTTTGTTGGAAATGTTTTGACTACCGATGAAAATGATGATGATGATAATAATAATTCACATAGTGCACGTAAATAACGTTATTTTTTTTTGGTTCTTTTTTCCCACGAAACATACGTTGGTGATCAATGAAAATGAATGAATGAATGAATGAAGAAGACGAAAATATTACCACCATCATCAACCACCACAATCATCATCACCACCAACGTCGACGACCACTATCAGAAGAAGAAGAACAAGAACAAGAAGAAAAAAAATGATCACGAACAAAAATAATTAGAATATTCTCATTGGAAACATATGAAAGAAATAATAATAATAATGATAATAATGGCAGAAAACCGAAAAAGAATCGTTATATGAAAAAGAAAATAAACGGATCTATTCAAAATACATATATATTTTTGAATGAATGTGAGGAAAACATGCATACTGAGAACAAAAAAAAACGAAAACGAAACCAGAAAGAACAAAACAAAAAATATGAAATGAAATGAATGATTAATATTTTAGGTTTTTGAATTGATTGAAGAGGAAAAATATTATTATTATTATTATTATTATATAATATTCACCAGGGACAATGACAATGAATGAACATTTTTTGTCTGTGGTAGGATTTATTTATCTTCATTTATCCATCCATGGTTTTGTTTGGTTTTTGTTTTTCGCTTTTGTTTGTTTGTTTGTTGATGATAATGGATGAATGAATAGAATGAAAATGATAAAATATCCTTTTTCATTGATGTGATATTTTCACTTCATTCTTTTACCGTTTCTTATTTGAATATATCACACACACACATGATGTTAAAGAAACATGCCAAATTTGAAATCTTTTATTATTATAAAACCAAAACAAGAATGACTAGAATAATAAAGATATTTTGATGATGATGATGATGATTCTATTCAATTTTGATTTATCATTTGGAAATTTTTTTGTTCTTGATTCAACAAAACCTACAAAGATTTTCCAAAAATTGATTTTGAAAAATTTCAATATTTTTTTTTTACTGTCGTTGTTTTCAAAATATTAAAATGATTGCATCAGTTATTTATTTGTCGTTGTTTTTGTTGTTGTTGTTGACGTTCATTTCCGAATAATATATGCTTGATTGATCAAAATTCAAACTGAAGAAAAAAAAATTTACTTTTAAAGAGAATTTGATTTGAAAAAAGGAAAGAAAAAAAATTCTTTACGCTTATTTTGTTATAAAACAACTTTCAACAATCACACATCATCATCATTGTGAATCATTTTTTTGAATTATGAATTGTGATCATCATTTCCAGTTGTTGATAAATTCAAGTCGAATCAGAGAGAAAAAAAATTGACTTTGAAATATTTTTTTAAATTACATTTTTTTGTTGCCATTGATTTCGATGATGATGATGATGATGGGTTTCCTTTTTTATTCTGCGTATGTGATTGATAAGAATTTCAATTTATTTGCTTTCGATTCATTTCCTTTTTGAGAAAAAAAATCCAATTTCCAATTCAAGCCATTTCTATATACGTATTTTTCGCTTTTTTTGAATTATCGGTGGTTACGTTTAATGAAAATCATTGATCAATTATCAGCATTCATTTAAAAAAATGCCGGTAAAGCAAAATAAATGATGACCTTTTTCACAAGCGCCTTATAAACATTGAATTTAAATGGTCGAATTTTCAAGGAAATCACTAAAAAACCCACCACAGACTTAATAATTTACTCATTTTTCACTG